AACAACAACAACAACAACAACAAACAACACAACACAACAACAACAAACAACAACAACAACAACAACAACAACAACAACAACAACAACAACAACAACAACAACAACAACAACAACAACAACAACAACAACAAACAACAACAACAACAACAACAACCAACAACAACAACAACAACAACAACAACAACAACAACAACAACAACAACAACAACAACAACAACAACAACAACAACAACAACAACAACAACAACAACAACAACAACAACAACAACAACAACAACAACAACAACAACAACAACAACAACAACAACAACAACAACAACAACAACAACAACAACAACAACAACAACAACAACAACAACAACAACAACAACAACAACAACAACAACAACAACAACAACAACAACAACAACAACAACAACAACAACAACAACAACAACAACAACAACAACAACAACAACAACAACAACAACAACAACAACAACAACAACAACAACAACACACAACAACAACAACAACAACAACAACAACAACAACAACAACAACAACAACAACAACAACAACAACAACAACAACAACAACAACAACAACAACAACAACAACAACAACAACAACAACAACAACAACAACAACAACAACAACAACAACAACAACAACAACAACAACAACAACAACAACAACAACAACAACAACAACAACAACAACAACAACAACAACAACAACAACAACAACAACAACAACAACAACAACAACAACAACAACAACAACAAACAACAACAACAACAACAACAACAACAACAACAACAACAACAACAACAACAACAACAACAACAACAACAACAACAACAACAACAACAACAACAACAACAACAACAACAAGAACAACAACATCCACAACCACAACCACAACCACAACAACAACAACAACAACAACAACAACAACAACAACAACAACAACAACAACAACAACAGGAGCAGCAGCAGCAACAACAACAACAGCAGCAGCAGCAGCAGCAGCAGCAACAACAACAACAACCGCAGCCACAGCCACAGCCACAACCAACAACCACCGCAACGACGACGACCACCGCGGCAACAACAAAGACGAGAACGACAACGACATCAGCAAGTCCGCGATCGCTCCTTTTTGATCCCTGTTCGGGGCTTGTTGCCTCTCACGGAACACCGCTCCTCCACATAGACTCTGAGAAGTCTCCTGAGATCGGTGGATGTTTCCGTTTGTGTTTGACAGCTCCTCTGAAAAGGACGTCGCTTGCGATAACGAAGCAAACCAAACTCCAAACACCAAGCAATCGAAGAAACATCACACATGCGTGACTCATCATCTACATGACTGCTAAACCGTTTCCTTCGGAGCTTTCTTGCTCTCTGCCATCTGTGCCAAGATGCGCCAAGATGCGCCAAGATGTGCCAAGATGTGCCAAGTGGCAAAAAACGAAACCGTCGCAACGCAAACATGTCTGCCGGGTGGGCTGCCGATTGTGAGATTGTGCACGATCCGAGGGCCCGGACACATCCAGAAGGCTCACGCAAGGAGGCAAGGAAGAGAAACGTGAACCAAGGCAAACCATTCGAGCATCCCCTCCAAACGGCAGAGAATTCATGGCTGTTGCCGACAAGGAATTGATATTTTGCTCTGGAGCTAGTTCGGCGAGGTTGTTTCTGCAGTTGTCTGGCTTGCTTCAGCAAATGATGCCGAAACGGTGCGTGACTTGCAAGGCCTTGACGCTAAGTTTGGCCAACTCACGAGCAGGCGGTGGCATGAACCTGCAGTTGATGGTTATACATATTATATTATATACATATATAGTCTATCTTAGTAGGGGAACCCTCCCCCAAAACAGGGTAAAAGGGCACTACTGGGGGACCTAGATGCTTTACAATACGTTTGTATGTATCCGAGTTAGTTCTGCTTCTTGGGAGATAAGCCCCCCGAAGCGGCCCACGGATTAATCGCCACGGGTTTGATTTCCCCTTGGGCGTCCTAGACCGACAAAGGGTACCGAGCCAAGCCGCTTCGCTTCACAATATGCTTGCTGCCTCGCTGCCGCCTGGCCAGTCGAATGGAGGTCGACTTCTGGATTGGACGCATTTGCTCTTGCTGAGCTAGAGAAACAACACAGGCCATTCCAGGACCCCATGACTGGCAAATAGCCCCAAAACAGCCCAGCCATTGGGAGATCATTCCACGGACCAGTTGCCAGCCACTGGGGGTCCTGGTTGAGGTTGGTCGCCGACGTCCCTCTGGGCGACTCGAATCCATCGGCTCGAACAGGCTCCACAAAGGGATCTGCACTATGGGTCATTGTACTCCAGTTTGATGAGCCCGTCTACAAAGGCCAAGAACACACAGTAAAGAATACGGGTGAGGTCATTTCCAGCCCCCCAAACGGGTCTCCGTCTGCTTACGCCTCTCATGCGGGTATGAGGAGAACTATTTGAGTGGCTGCAAGTGGGAGAGATGCCTGGAGGGTACCTGATCCTTTGCATGATGTCAAAGCAGACTATCCAACACCCATAGATTTGGGGGCAAGCGGACCCTCCCCGACAAAACTGAATTCGAGTCGAATGAGCGAAGCAACAGCGACTTTCTCGAGCGCTGGACGATTGATCTGACGCTGAAGGTTCTGGAGGAATTCAGTGGTTTCAAACAAAGATGGCGAAGCTGGGCAATTATCCCTCGGGATACTTAAAGAACTTGGAAAACAAAGGGTCATTGAAAATTTGAGGGGTCCCAGCATCTCCGGACTGGCTGGGCAAGTCGTATGGCGCCGTAGGAAGCGAGCAAGAGACTCCTTTCGACTTTCGATGTTGAACAAAAAAACTGGAAGACCATGTCGATTCCTTTGCGAGGAGTCATTCACGCTCCCGACATCGAGTTTGGAGGGCGCTAAAGGCGATCAGAATTGTGTGGATCTCTTTTTCGGGGTCGGGTCAGCGGATTGATCCATGGGTGAGTTGTCACAAAAGCAGCAAAAAACAACTTTGGCTTGGGCCGTTTCCCAAAGGCTAAATCCAATTGCTTACGCGTCGCTGATTTTTACCCGAAAGAGGTGCGAAGTATTCTTCCGGAAAGATCGCCTGTTTTTTGCAGAAAGAGAAAGAGAGAGAGAGAGAGAGAGAGAGAGAGGGATAGCGCACAGAGCCACACAAATTGATAGCTCAGAAGGCTTGATCAGCCCAGAAGACTTGATACCGTGATGTGATACAGCTGGCTGAGCAAACAGGCTATTCTTTGTTTACGCATTAGATATCACGTTGAGATGTTGCAGAGAGTTGCCCGGATATATGCCACTTTGTAATTGCGCCTGAGATATCACGATAAGATTCTACGGAACATGCACGGACATTTACCTCGTGATCAACACGTTACCACGTCAAGTACGCGCGCAGTGAGACAGCACAGAGCTGTGGATGCACAATCCGTGCTTAAAATAACAGTGCGACATCGCAACCTTGTGCTTGAATCGGTTTAATCGATGTGCAAAAACTAAAGTGCTTCGCAACTTTTCAACATGCCTGCGCGACCCTGTGTAGAGATCTGCGTGGTCGATGTGCAACAACTCGGGTGTTTTGCGACTTTCCCACATGCCCACACGACATTGTGCGGACACCGGCGTTATCGATGAAGAGATGTGCCACAGCGAAACTTGTATGGAGATCTTGCACAAAGATAACTTGAAGAACAACAACTTGAATCAAACATATACAGTGCAAGCACTGTAGAAGAAATCATTGTATAAGAAATCCAGGGGCTGACATTCCCAAATCAAGCAGGTTGCAACTGCATTTGCTGCTAAGAAATTGACCCCCCCTGGATTTTTCGTCCAATTTCTTAGCAACTTGTCGCTTGCGCGAGAAAGAAAACCACCTCCGCACTCCAAGAATTGAGCCAATGATTCCTGGTTTCTGCGGTGCGGGTGCGGCACCGCTACACCAGGCTGGGCCTTGGATTTCTGAGTGGCCATTTCGGACCATGAAGGGCCCCTTTTAGCGGATTTTTCAAGCAATGAAGGGCTCCTTTGCCAAGAAATCCAGGGGCTGGATTTCTTAGCGGCCTTTTCGGGCGATGAAGGGCTCCTTTGCTAAGAAGTTTAGGAAAACATTCCCCTACCGAAAGACAAGATTAAGAAATTGGCTAAGAAATCCACCCCCCCTGGCTCCAGAGGGGTAGAAACCAGCTCTGTTAAAGACGAAATGGACGCTAAGAAATTCAGCCCCCCTGGGCCTTGACCAACCGATTTCTTATACAGCGCTCGCACTGTATTGCAAAGCCACACTGACACTTGCGCAAAGATCTTGCACGAAAAAACAAAACAAAACCTGCACGGTGAAGTCGTCAGAGAAACTTGCACAGAGAAATTGCACAGGAAACTTGCTCAGAAAACTGGCACAAGTAAACTTTGCACCGAGACAACTTCCACAAAGAACTTGCACAGAACAAATGCACAGGCAACTGCACAGATCAACTTGCAGACAAAAGCTTGCGCAAAGAACTAGCAACTGCACAGAGAACCTGCTCACCATGATCATGCTGTGTCATGTCTCGGCGGCGTTGCTTTCGGGCCACCCGTCTAGTCTTGGGTGTCACCTCGGGTGTTTCTCAACATTAGGGCCCCCTTCAGGTGCTTTTTCTTTATAGCCGTCCAAGAAGGGTCCCCCTATTCTGAGACAGACCCGGACCCATACCATCTGCCGGGGGGAGGGGGGGGGGTAGCAACACGGAACACGGGTCACGGGACCATATATATATATATATAATATATATATATATATATATAAAAGCCATGGCCGTGTTGCACCCCTGGTTTTTCTACCGGCTCAAGACAGGACATATGGTATAGGTCAAAATCAAATGATCAGGGAACCTCAGGTTTTTGTCCATGTTTCTATTTCAATTTTGGGCTTGCCCTTTTTTGACCACCACAGTCATATACCGGCCATCTGAGTTCGTTCGATTTCCGCCGAGAATTTGTTCGCGCCTCGGCGTCCACCAGGGGCCGCCAACTTTGGGCGAGCTCCGCCAAGCGGCGTGTGGACACTGAAGCGGCGGTTTCCCCGTCCCCGCGCGCCTGCCCGAGCGCTGAGCTGGCACAGAAAATGCCGGACGGGGTGGGTCGGTGGATGGAGGGGGGGCAAGGTGAAGAGGTTCTGGATGAGCTGGCGATAGATCAAGGGAGATCACAGAGGATTAAGGATGTGAATGGCCGTTGAAGACGGTTGAAGGATGTTGAAGAATACTCAACTTCAAAGTCAGAGGGGCGAACAAGTATATAATCAAGCCGAAGATCAGGCAAGTCTGGCAAAGTCAAATAGTTAAACGAGATCCAGATCAGCTGTTGGCAACTCATGGCATGTTTAGATTGCGGCCCAAACTTCGTGAAGCCTCACATGATAAAGTACGATTCCCCAGTTCTGGTTTCAAATATCAGCCAAGCTTGGCCCACTTCGACAGGAGGTATTCCAATGGCGGACCAAATCCATTGAGGCAGACTCAAGACAGGCAGGGTGGCTGGCAATCATTGATACTGTAGCCGCATTTTTTCCAAGCCCGGGATCTGTTGATTGCTTTGTAGAGCTAGCCTTGAACTTGCAGTCCCGCTCGGAATGTCCCCTCCCCCGAAAAGCCAAGCTTGGGTTCTGAAAGTGAAAACATAGGGGAAACATAGGGAAAACATGCGGAAACATAGGGAAACACATCATGAAACCATTGGAAAACACAAGGAAAACACAGGGAAACCATTGGGACAGATAGGGGCAACGTAGGGAAAACCATAGAGAGCACACCAATCGAAGCCCTCCGTCGAGCCTCGAGGAGTCCGGTTTGGCCATCCAGCAGCTCGGCCTTCGGGCCGAACGAGCGCGGGTTTCTCTCACGGGATATGGAACGCCTCAACCACAGTCTGTATTCTCAACCACATTTTCTCTGTTTTCTTGTATGTGTTTGTCTCTCCTTTTCCCAGTCAACCCAGAATATACGTGTTTCCATGCGTTTGCTTGACTTTCTTCTCTCTGGTCCTTTCCAAGTCAGCCTAGATACCCCCATCGTGCGTTTTTGTTTTTTGACTTTTCCGCGGTTCCTTTGGAATCCAATCACGGAGCCGCGATCGATACCAGTCGAGTCTGCCCTTGGGAACTGGCGGCCGGGCGTTTCCGGTGCAAGCAGCACATTTGTCCACTGCCATGTCCACGTTTCGACCCCAAAGCAACGGTTAACTTGCATATGGCTGTGGCTCAAAAAAGTGGTACCAAAATGGAACTTTGGTAAATGGCACCAAAAACTAAAACCGGCGTAACCCCAGCTCTTTAACTTTGAGCCATACCCATATCTGTTTTATTCACCTGACCCTGCGGAGTCCGGTGTTGAAAAAAAGAAGAAGTAGCATTCATGCTTCTCAACTTCAAGCAAATAAAGCCACTAACCAAAGCCCTTTAAAACCAGCAAGAAAGCCGAAACAAGTACAGATGGAAGGGAGTATCACAAATAAGCAGGAACAAATATAAATACAAGTAGAGGAGTCTCAAGCACAACTGATTTCAGCGTCCACGTCCCGTCTGGTCGCCTCATCACCGCGGACCCACACCAAGCAGCGCTGCTCGGAAAAATCGGCACCTGCACCATCCTGGCGATTGAGCTCTCGGAGCCTACCCCGCCCGTGTGGCAGCATCGAAGGGAACAACAACCCACAATTCACACGGGCTTCCCTATGGCGAACATTTTTGACCACGACCCCGCAATGGCTGGCAAATAACCCCAAAACGGGGTCCTGGTCCAGACAAAGACCACATGGATAGAAAAAGCCCCAAATGGTTGGCTTGGTGGTGGTTTCCTTTCGACACTGGCCAGCCAAGCAAAGCTCTCTAGTTTCGACACACAGTCACATGGTCAAAAGAACTAGTGGTTCCAGATAAGCATGGTCACAGACTTGCTAATCGAATCTTAAACTCATTATTCACAGGGACATCCTTTTTCAGCCGTTCTGACACTCCCCAAAAAGGCCCCAGAAAAAAGTCGGGAGTCTCAGCAACAAACAACCACCAAGTCTCAAGTGTAAACAGTTGCATATGAGGATTCCAAGTTGGCATCACTTGGAGCCAACGCCCAAGGAAACTCAAGCCACTGACTCTGCAAGTTGCAAAAAAGTCACCTTTTGCTTTTTTCGTGACATGTCATTCAGGCATAGATCTGCACCAATCAACTAGTCCGAGCCACTGTTCATCTCGAAGATCCCACAACTGGTGCTTCGAGGAATTGGTGCCTCGTGACCTTGCCAATCCCAACTAAATCTGCCTCCGGATGATGGTGTGGTATCCGTTTTTATTGATTGTTGGGTCTTCAAATCGGAGAGTTACACCACCCTACATAATCCTACACCTTTGTGGTGACCGAGGATTTGCAGTGACCAAGGGAAATGAGTGATTGACCGAGGATTTCCTTAGAGCAATGCACATGTGGTGCACAAAGAAGACTACAGGGGCGGTTGGATGTACTCGGTATGGGCCCCAAAATTCCGAATGATACCCCTGAATCAAGGCCTCTAACATTCCGACAATACATATGGCTGTGGCTCAAAAAAAACGGTACCAAAATGGAACCCTGGTAAGTGGAAATATGGACCAAAGCCTGCATAACCCCCCGTGTTTAATTTTGAGCCACACCCATATCTGATCTGACGGGCTTTGGACACACGGTTCAACAAAGACCCGCCTAGGCCAATGGCCCCCGCCAATGGCCCCCGCAAATAGCCGTCATCTCAGCCACACTGACGCGTAAGGAAGTGAGCCCCTGCGCCTCGTAGATGCCGTCATCCAGCTTCACGCTACAACCAAGCCTGGGCTTGCGCGGACCGCGCTTGGGCTAGTTTGATAACAGAGATACCATGTTGCAAATCCGTCCTTCGATTCCTTCGCTGCTTGCAGCGGAAATAAAGGCTCGTTGACTTTGCTTCTTCACACCAACCTGTGATAGTGACTGAAATCACACAGTCTCCACAGCTTGAAGGGAGCACGGCGTCGCAAGCACATGTCTTAGTCTTGAGGATCTCTTGCGGGCCTCTTTTGGGCAATAACTCGCCTTTGCATCAAGAAGTTCTTAGAACCTTCTTATTTCTGATGTTAGGGGTCTGAGAACCCTTGTGCGAGGCAGGGTTCTAATACCTTTTCTGTTGTGAAGAAAAAAAGGCAAGCCACAGCTGACTTGATGCTTGATCAGATTGGCTCGCCCAAGCCTTGCTTGGTCCTTTTTTCCCCGCCCCAGCAGTTTGTTCTTAACCCTGGTGCCTTAGCCATAAAAACGCTTGTTCTTCGTAGCCCCGCTGCAGAATGAACAAAACCAAAAAAACAAATAAACGAGCTGAAGCAACAAACTATAATGTTGGGTTGGCTGCGTCTCAAAATGGCGGAAACACAACACAACCCAAACAAACTTGCTGATCCTCAATAGGGAATGAACCTGGGGATTCCCTTGAAGGAAACCATAGATGGTTTATATAGGGTAATTTCCTCATTTCCTGCTCTCGCACCAGCAAGGAAAAACATGTTTGTTTTCTTTTAAGAACAACAACTCAGCTTTGCCCCTGGCTCAACAGCATCTCATCTCAACTCAAACCCGCCCCTCACAGCCATGGCCATGGCACAGGTCCAGGTGCTGAAGGCCGTACCCGGGAGCCTGCCGCCGCCCCTGCTCCCCTCATGCTACTCCCTAGGCTTCCCCCCAGGTTTTCCTGGCAAATGGCCCCCCAAAAAACATCCCGACTTTAAGACAGGAACCCACAGAACCTGTGATTTTGCCCCATGCTTGAGGAGCTTATGTGCAATGTGTGCTTACCTTTTAGGTCATGTATTGTTCAGGTTTGACAGCGTTTATGGGCCTGGGCTTCGCACTCATGGTCTCACAAAGACTACTAGCAAAACAAATTGCTTGCTCGCTGGGCTTTGACACCTGCAGTTGTTTCGACAGGAATCGAGTGGATGGACAAAATGTCCTGCAGTTGGAATGGAATAAGCCCTACTGGGACAAACCAGCTGGTGTGAAAGGGGGCTTTGTCCATCAGTATTGAACATTGTTTGGGTGTGTGCGTCAAAACTGGGCCAGAACACTCTGCAAAAGTTGCACTTGCCGCTTCCTGCATTGCAATGGTCCGTTATGTAGCCAGCTAAAAGCGCACTACGAGCGTAAGGAAGTGAGAAAATGGCGATGCCCCAAGCGCCGTGGCAAATAAAAGGTAAGTCTGGCCCCAAAACCCCAAAACCCCAAAACCCTGTACAACTGAAATACAATGGGCTGATGCGGGGACACACGAGATGAATTTGGACGCGAACAAAGGAACTCGGCCAGTTGCGGCTTTCTCGACCTGGAAGTCCTGCAGCCGGCAGCACAGCGCCCGTGCCGCGTGCGGCCAAGAGAACTTCCGGCCGATCTGCCCAAGACGGGGGGGCAAAGAAACAAAGAAACCTGTAATCTCCCGTTCAGTGAACATAACCCAGTAAAGACAACAAACGCCGAAACAAACATGAGTGAAAGTTCGATCATATTCATGCCATTTCATGCCAGGATATGCCAGGTGTTTAATATAGAGACTCTGGAAAATAAACACACTCCAGTGAGACACACCCTGCCCATGCACAGTCACCCTGAAAACGAAAAAATCCCCGTTTTGAGCCAAGCAACGCCCAAAAAGGCGTTGATAGATGACTCAATGCTAGCGGCCGGGGGTCGAGAAACAGGTTTTGCTTTTGTTTGGCTTTGCAAGGAGGGCACACCGCTGAACTGTTCATCACATGCTTCCCACGGCTAGGTCCTCCAGTAGAGAGCCTAGAATAAGCCCTCCCCAAAAAAGAGTAAAAGGGCACTACTGGGGGACCTAGACAACTACTTCAACATGTGCTTGGTAACATCTGCGAACACGACAACTTCAGCCCGGGCGATTCAACACCTGTCTCGGACCTAGGGCAGGCCACAGCCTGTATTTCCCCCAATCCAGCGCCACTTCCGACACTCAAAGTTGGCAAGCAAGTTGGAAGCTCACCCAAAATGGGAACCCAAACAGGAAACTCGCCTAAAACTGGCCTTGCCAACAAGTCATGCTTGCTCTTACTTTAACGAACATCATGCAAACCTTTGGCCCCACCACCTGCCACCCCGAAAAAGCGTACCCACCTCGAAAACCCCTCTGTAAGGTAGACGCCTTGATCGTCCAAAACAGAAAAAGAGCTCCAAATCGCCCACCTCCCCCTTGCCCTCCCTCCTCCCTCCTCTTGATACGGGCTCCCCAAAGATTCTCCTTCAGTCCACCCGAACCCTTCGAGACGGCAACCCCAGGGAAACAAAGACCCGTTTCCTCCAAACTACGCCCCAACACGCCACCCAAATCAATGAAACCAACTCAACCCCTTCCTTCTCCCAAGCCAAAAGACAGCCCAGCTCGCCCCAGGCACCGTGCAGCTGGAAAAGCGCAGTGGTGCTTCGAAGGCGGCGCTGAGATGGCGGCCCAAGACGCCCAGCGCCGCCCACTGCGCCAACTTGTCGCTGCAGCACAGGGGGCCCTGCCGGCCGTGGGTGGCTGAAGTGCCGAAAGGACCCGAGGCCTAGGGTCGATCTTGTGGCAACCTGGGGTCGTAGGTGCCACGCTGTCTCCTTAAGTCCAAAAAGGGACGACCAACTTTGCTCCACCAGGCTCTGTGTGTGGAGTGGAATCGGTTAGGTTGATTCGTACAAATCTTGGAGCTCAGAGCGTGGGTTGGTATATTGGTATACTGTTGTGGGGCCAATTCTCGACGTCGGCTGGGGTGTGGCCTTTCGATTGCTAGTGGTTTAGGCTGATGCTTTCCGGGTTTGGGGCTTATCAGGGTTGCTTCGCAAGGGGCTTGGGTTGTTTTTTCGGATGCTTGAGGTCGGCTTTGGGGCTCCAGACAAAATCACACATCTCAGTTCTCCATTCAATACAAAGCTTCTGGGACCCAGCTGCAACAAAGACAACAGGCCCGAGGCTGATCCCAGCAAGCAGCTCGGCCCTCTCTGCACAGGTGTTGTTACGTTGTCGCCACTCAAACACGGACACTTAAATAGGTCAACACAGATTTTACACTACCTCCCAGCCCTGAAGCCCTGAAGCCCTGGCACGGCCCCCACATATTGAAAAGTCGTCACCGGAACGTTTCGCGCCCGTCCTGCGACTCCTCCGTTTCCGGGTTGAACAGCCTCGGATCTCCCAGACCCACGGCGTCTCCCGCGCGATTGTCTCATGCGGCACGTGTCTTCTCGGCACGAAAAAGGCGACGTTTGGAGGGGGCGAGAAAGCCAATGTGTGTTTGGGCATGTGCGAAAAGCGGCACCTGCCAATGGCAGGTTCATGCCGGCATCCCTTCAAACATGGATCCAACATGGCTCGCTTCCAGGTTTGACACTGCAGCTTCAACTTGCGCTGTTCAGAAGGGGACGCATCAGTTCACAGGCACTTGCTGGCATTTCAGGGATGCCCTCAAGAAGCCAGCATGGACACAATCATCTGGGCAGGTCCCTCTTAGTCTCGACGCAGCCAGCCAGGCCCCGGACGGCGGTATAAGCCATAGACACATATGTGTTCTTCTCGTACAAAACTGCCCGAGCTCCTTTTAGAGCAAAGGGAAGTCATGTTGCCCACGCTGAGTGGAAAGAAAAGGGCAGCTGACTTGCAAAGGATCTGCCTTCTGGATCGCTACGGGTTTGGGCTGCAGCCTGTCACCAATAAATGTCATAAAGGTGATGGCTGCTCTCTAATCATTATAGCCTAAATCATTTGAATAAGCTTGTAGGGTAATTGTTTCAAAAGACATGTCTACTAATGATCACGGGAGGAAGCAATTACGTAGCCCTTCACATGTGGCTTGTAGGTTACCTGAAAAAAGTTATGTTTCGCCCATGACTGGAGCAAGTCATATAGGCCCCTTGCAACAGTTTCTTTTGGCGATGGCTCCCTAGAATAATCATCAAAACCGGCCAGGCAGCGCGCACCCAGGCGGCACCGAGACCGGCGCGTCAACTGACTCGCCCTTGACCAGGAAGGCAGCTTGGCCCTCAGACCGCGCCTCCGAGTCGAAAGCCGCGGAGTCGCTTGGGCAACCTTGAGAGATTCAGAGATGTCAGAGGTTTTAATGTTCAAAATGGTCCCGTTTTTTTGTTCTGAGGAGAGAGTTTTGTCATTGGCCAACCAGGTTTGAACGCAAAAGCTGAAGCATTTGCCCATGTTGGGCGAGCTGGGAACCTTGGGTTTACAAACAAGTCCGAAGGTTGAGGCCAAACGGTCAAGCAGTTATCCATGCTGTGCTCCGAAGAAAAGAAAAACAAAGAACAATAGAGACACTTTTGTCATTGTCTGAACCGGTTCAAAGGTAAGACGTGCAACACATGTTGCAAACCACCCGCATGCAATTTCTGTGGCCACCTGATGAAAGAATCCTCGTGGCCTTTCAAGGGGCCGAGGTTCGTGACCCAAGGCATGTGACAAACTTACGGATCCAAACGAATTCCTGTGGCCAAATCAAAGGGACAGTTTGCCGGTCAGCCTGTTGCACCACACGTCCACACACAGAAAGCACCTATTGTCCAGGGCATAGGGCCTGCATGTCTGATCAGCTTTCATCAAGTTGAGTATGTGTTGGAGTAGGGGGGACCCCATCATTAGATGGTGGGTTTCTCTTTGGGTGCTTCTGTACACCAGGGCAACATTCTGGACGCTCCAAACACATGCTTGTGTGTGTGTGTGTGATGTTGAAACGCTAAGCAAACTCCAAACCAAAAGTATTTCCAGCTGGATGATTTTCAAACGTGAAGTCCAGACTCTGAAGGTTTGGACGTTGCAGCTGAGAAGCGAAGCAAAGGCTATTTAGCCCAACAAATCATGATTTGAATGCTCAAGACAGCCGATTCAACAGGGGTCGGGAGCTGACATGGTGCATTGCAGGCAGTTTCAACCACCGGGTCAAAGGCAAATCATTGACCCCATCTGAAACGAGGCCTATCAACTCCAAAATGATTCCAATTCTGTGGTTGCTGTGAACTGTCTGTACACCAATGTGTGTGTTTTTGCAAATGAGCCCCTAAACATTGGTCAGCTTGTGGCAAAATGTGCCAAAACACTTACACGAAGTCGAGGTACAGTTGAATCCCAACATATTGCAAGTGGGGAACAGGGAAACTACTTGACCAATGGTAGTTGCAGGCAAGAATAGGACTTGAGGACCAGCCCCAACCTCTAGTGATGACCGCAGCAGTGATGATGGAAGCTTGTTTGACTGTAGAATCGGGGAAACACACAGAAAACAACAACAAACACTCAAGGGCTCAAGGTCGACTCCGGTAAAAACAACTGGAACCAATCTTGGCCTGCTGACCATTCTTAGGGGCCATGACACAAAAAGGGATCTGGAGGGTGCCACTGGGATGCTGGTTCTGCGTGCGCCGAGCTTCATGCAAGTGGATGCGTGGATGCCGTTGTCTCGGCCATATGCCTTCATCATATGCTTCGCAGGTGCCTGTGCTGTCTCGGCTCGGGCTTCGTGGTCGAGTGGGCAACTTGCTCTTGGAGTTTAAAAATGCTTCACTGGGAAACGCTTTTTGGATGGCTTACGAAAACAACGAGGGAGAATGCGCATTTTCAGGGGTCCCTATTTTTCCGCGCATTTTCTCGGGAAGTTGGGCATCCACGAAAAACAAGTTGACTTGGTTTCACCTTCAAAGGGCCTCTTGAAGGGTCGCTGATTTCCGTTTAACGAGTTGATGCAACCTCCGCAATTATTTGTGGCTGGGATTATCTTCCTGAGCCTACCAGTCTCATGGGCAAGCAATGGTTTTGAGAGGACACGATCTGACCCGTGGCCATGAGCGGTGGAGAAAGGATGCCAATGGACAATCAAGCTCTGGCTTGGTCCTACAAGAGACACCCCTGGCTATGCGATAGGGTTTGAAAGGGAAACCCAAAAGAACACCTGGGGTATCCTCCTTAAAGCCACCAAGCCTACTACTCAACTGGCCAAAAGGTATGAAACAAAGCATTCACTGCCATATGTGGACAAAGCAAAACCTTTCTGCGACATGTCAATGTGGTCGCGAGAAGATCGGCATGGTGGACGAGGACAAGGAGATTGGTGACGAGGAGTTCCATGACATTGAGAAGAAGATGCTGAGTTCCAGATGGCTCTGGTGGTCGCTTTTGCCAACATGGTCGGAGCCAACGACCTGACAAGAAGGAAAAAAGGGCAGCCAAAGCCATGTCAGCATTAGAAGAGTGGGCGCTTCTACTTCTGGCTGTGAACGTTCGGTAGCCTCAATTTCAAACACCCCGATTGGTTTTGAACTTGGCCCACTATCAACGTCATCACCGGGAGGAACTATTCAAACCCTATCGCATACCCACTGTCTTTTTTTAGGCACCCCCCAAATGATGTTCTTTTGGTTTCCCCTTGCATCCACCACACATGGGCACCCTCAACAAAAGACGGGCCGCCCATGGGCTCCAACCTCCATCGATTTTCACCTCTTCCGAAGTCCCTCCGAGGTGCCGCCCTTGGCCCAGCGCTTCCAGGACGCGTTGCCGCAGGGCACCGAGGAGCTGTAGAAATGCAGCGACACCTCCGCCCTCAGCCGAGGAGCGCCCGCCTAGCGAGGGACTTAAGACCCTTTTGCGACCGAGTCCGGGGTGGCGATTTGGCAAAGGGGGAGCGAAAGAAGCCCGTCTGTGTGTGCGAGTCTGCGAGTCTGTGGGTCGACGTCTCCACGCAAATTCTGTGTTTATGTGCGCGGAGGCGGCTGTACGTGCCTGTGCGTGCATGCACATGTGTGGAAATCGGCCACCGGACAGCTGAGCGACCCGTAGATGATTGTGCATGTACAGTAGTTGAGTATGAGACGACAAGACAAGGTCCAAATGACACGCATGAAGGACACAGCAGCAAGCCCAGACAAACCAGACTTAGAAGACTTTTTGATGATGTTCCTGGTGCTGCTTTGTTGGCGTCACGTGGGATCTCACAGCAAAGCATCCA